TTATGGAAAGTATTGTCTGACGTAACCTTCTCGATATTTTTGTTGACGAAATACATGTACTACTTAAAGTTGAGTTTACGGTAAGACTTAATAAGTTATTTAACTTTTTAGCCAAAAAGGGCGAAACTTTTAAAGAAATAGGATTTGCGGGTGTTAAACCAAACAAGTTTGTTATTATTTTGGATCTTTTAGATTAGTACTTTATTTCTTGTTAACTTTTTAATATAATATTTGCTGTTGTTGGAATGCATTGCAAAAAACTATTTTCAAACTTTATTGTAAGTTGCCACAAAAATCCCAAAAATCGCTCCAAAAATCCCAATTCTCATGATGTTTTTTCCAAGAAACCTATTTTCACAGTTATGCAATTGCGTTTTTATACTAATAATGGCGATTTGATTTCATGTTTTACGCAATTAATAAATTAGAATTTTTTTATGTTATTTTTCTATTAGTTTTGAATAATAATTAATTTTAAATTATTTTTAGAATTATTATTAAACTTTAAATTGTTGAAAATACTTGTTTGTTGAAAATTTTGAGATGAAGAAAGAAGTTGATATAGCTAAGCTAATCACTAATGTGATTTCAAGGCTAGGAATGGATGTTCAAAATTGTCGTGGTCAGGGATAGGATAATGGATCCAATATTTCCGGTACTTACAAGGGAGCTTAAGTCTTAATAAGGCAAAATTATTTGCGAATTTGTTAAGCTCTGTATGTTTCCAGTAGTGCTCACAGTCTGAATTTGGCTGGTGTATACAGTTGAATCAGTCATTGAGACTTTAAAAATTTTGAAACTTGGTACTTATTTTTTGGTACAAGTCTTGCTCAATGGAAAATACTCGCTGAAGCAACTGGGATTTCATTTCATAGACTTTCTATGACAAGATGAAGCTCTCTTATCGACTTGGTCAAACCACTTGCCAAGAGAAATATTGGCAACTCTTAAACATGTTCTGAAAAATCACAACATGTTTAAAAGCTGCTCACAGGTCAAAATATTTGACCAGTGAGTAGCTCAGCCAAACAAGAGACTTTGAAATTGATTATCATCATTTAAATTTGTATTGCTAGTTACGATTGGGTACAAAACCTTTAATACTGTTAATGACGTAAGTCAATTTCTACAATCTTCAGCCATTACCATTGATGACGCGCTACGTTTGAATGGACATCTGCTGGAAAATTTTAAACGAATTAGGGGCTCTTGGTTGCAAATTTGATAAAAGGCTGTAGTTGTAGCTAAATCACTAGGATTCAAAGCTGAACTCGCAACTAAAGGAAAGCGCACTTTCAAGATGAGGCATCAAACACAGCCTATTTCCTTTTCAGTTAAACAAAAGAACGTAAAGTGAACGTTTTTAATATTGATTTAGATAGTTTGATCCAGCAGATTGATTCAAGATTTAAGATGAGAAAGATGTTTTCATTTGTCTGGTTGGATAATGATAATCTTTCTGTTTAAAATAAAGTATGAAAACTTGCACGGTTTTATCCAAGAGATCTGAACAAAAAGATTGTCATCGAAGAAGTTTGCCTTTTAAAAATGTTCTCAAAACAATTATCAAGTAAGTTAATCCAATGCAGCTACTCGATCTAATTTTTTTAAAAGAAGCTTGAAACCCTTTTTTCATACATTATTTTCATTTTCCAGATGAACAATCCTTTAGTAAACTAAAAATTGTAAAAAAAACTTATCCGTTTGACCATGGGTTAGGATCGCGTTACTGATATTTGATTATTTTTATTAAAGAAGATTTTTGCTAAAAAGGTTAGCTACGACAATGTCATCGATATTTGGGTGGCCATAAAAGCTCAAAAAGTATATTTTTAAGCGGCTTATTTACCTTTCTTGAAGGTTTTGTTGATTGATTTTTTAATAGTTTTAAAGCTAATATTTGATTCATGTCAGTTTTGATTAATGAACCGTTTCTCAACCCAGAGAATTAATAGTAAAAATACAATATGCTGTATCAGAAACAAATAACTGCTTTGTTCACAAAAATTTTAAAATTTTAAACTTTTTTAATTTCAAATTTAATAATTGATTTGAATTAAGGGCACTGCTCTTCATTTTTGACCCAGGTGCCAATGGCGCTCATGAAGGCCCTGCTTTAACATTTTAATAATTGAATTGAAATTAAATCAAAGCATTTTAGGCTTTTTAATTTTAATTCAATAAAAATAAATATAACTTCAAACTCTAGTTGACAATCTTTAAAAATAATTTAAAATTTTTAAAAGATTAAAAAATATTTATTAAAATAGTGTTTGTATTTTTAACATTGTAAATTGCATCTGTTTGATTTAAATTATACTATTGAGTTGCAATTGATTTTATTGACCAGGGTTGGGGTCAATTGCATTTGATCAAATACAAACACAAATACATTAATTCTAGATTTCCATACACAAATTTAAATATAAATATATTCAATCGGTATTTTCTAAATACAAATATGTGTAATTTAGGTTAAGAAAAAATATATAAATTTTATAGAAGAATTAAAACAAGTCTTCTAATAAATATCTCTTAAAAACAAATTTTTAATTTAGTTCAGTGTAAAAAATAAAATATAAAAAACTCTTGCTATTTCCTGAAAAAACACTGGTAAACCTAGTTTACGGTGCTGCAAATACATTTCAATCCTAATATAAATATAGATTCAAAAAAATTTTTTATCAAATAAAATACAATTACTCCAAATTAGCTTATTTTTACCAAATACAAATACGTATTTGACCCTAACGCTGGTGTTAACATTGGTTTTACTGTGTACAATTTTAATCTCTTTATTTTTATGAAAGTAATGCTAGTTATTTTATCTGACTATTTGTTTGTTTTTTTGCTTATAGATTTGCTTCTTGCTGCTGAAATCGGTCAAGCATTGTTAGAAAGAAATAAAGAACTAGAGATGCTTTTAAAAAATACTCAAGAATATGCTGAGGAGCAAGAAGAGAAAGCTAAAGTAAAATTTAAACTTTATTTGAATTTATTTTAAAAATTTAAATTTGATTATGTTTAAATTTTTTTTTTTTTCAGTTTTATTACAATCAGGTTGAAAGTTTAAGAGAAGAAAAAGTTTTATGTACTCAGTTTTATGAGCAACTTGAAGCAGCAAATCAAAAACTTGCTGACAAATATAAACAATATAAGAATAATTGTAAATTGTTAACAGGTAATAAATAAACTAATGGTAAATAAAGTTTATCTATATGTTTATCACAATAGATGGGGCGCTATTATCATGTGAATGTTTTTTAAGCCAAATGAAGTATTGTTTTAATAATTTTTATGATTTGCAAAAAAAATTAATATCACTATTTATTGCATAATAAAAAAATTTATTTTTCCTTTTATCTTTGTTTTGTTGAAAATATGTTAAAAGACTAATTATTTTAGTCAATACTTGGTAAATCTCTTTCTCTTTTAAGATAAAAATTTGTAGGCCTAATAATCTGCATAATAACTTTGGCAAGTGGTTTAAGTGTTTGTGCTTGTTTTAATTTTTTCTATGCTAAACTTTTTTACTATGTTATTATAATAATAAAGTATGTTTATTATTATATATGCATATAATTATATAATATGTTTTTCATAACAAGGATTCTCATTGACTATTTAGGTAAAAATGATTATCTATGGGAGCACATACATTTATTAGAAAAAAAAAATGAAGAATTGCGTGTTGAATTAAATAATCTAAACACTGAAGCTAATACAAATGAAAACAATGGTGGAAAACCTATTAAAGAGAATAGCCAAACAGCAGATGTTATTTCTATAGAAATTGAAAGTATAGACAGCACACTGCTACAAGATGAAGAAAAACAGTTTGACGATATAAAAAAATTAGAAAAACAAGTAGACCAGTTAACTTTGTATATATCTGAGCTGAAAGTACAATTAAATATCATGAGACTTCAAAAGGAGGAAGTTGAGCTCAATTTGGAGAGTATTTTACATGAGAATGACATTCTTCAGAAAAAAGTAACATCATTAAATCAGGAAGTTCGTGAGTGGGAAACATTTGTACATCGAGAAGAGAATTACAAACATATTGCGAAAGCATTTTCCCCAAAACATTTTATTGAGCTTGATGACAATAAAGACGCATGCAAAAAAATTTTCATGGTTAAAGCTAAATCTTGTGAGTTTCTTAATAAAAGTAAACAGTGTTCTAATGAAAGAGAATCAAACAATACCTTTTTTTCTCAAAATAGCAGTTCTTTCTTAAGAGAACTAGATACGGACTACGCGGACTTAGTGAGACGTTATGAAGAATTACTAGAAAAGTTTCAAAACAAAGAAAAATTGAATGAAAATCCGGAAAAAGTAAGAAAAGTTCAACGTGCAATACAAACTCTTTCTTTTGATTTTACATCAAAAATATCTCCTATGACTCCTTTGAAAACTTTGTTTGCTACTCCCAATGAATCTTTAAATACTAATTTAGAATTAATTGAAAATAATGATCATTCTGAATCATTGACAGTATTTCCTGATACTTCTATGAACAATCATTTAGATTACAAAAAGATTTTTTCTGAAATCTTTATTAAATTAAATGAATCAAAAAGAATTTGATACTAAATATTTAGCACTATCACCCAAATGCTGTTTAAATATTTGTCATTCACGCAATTCAACGTCTCTTTTTTGAATAAACAATATTATAATAACTAACTGTTATTTTAATTTCATATTGCAGTAAATTTTAATAAACAAACTATTTATTTAAAAGAAATCTTTAAAATATTTTTTTAGGTTTTATTTATAACAATTTTTTTTTCCTTTTACTTATACACAAAGAATTTTACTTTTAGAAGTTAGACGTATAAATTAAATTTTTTTATTGATATTTTTTATACTATTTATTTATCTGCATTTCTTTTATTACTATCTTAACAAAACTTTAGATAGGTGGAATTTTGCTCTTGTAAAAATTTATAAATTCAATAAACATTGTAAAATAGAAGAAAATAATTTGTATGCCATTTATACGTTTTCTTCCATATTACTTATTACTAGCTTGGACTTAAAGTTTCGATGCTGCATCAGATTGATTTTTTAACTTTTTTTAAAAAAGTTACGAGACAATTACAATTCTATACCGACTTCTAGTCTTGTTTTCCTGTTTTTAAGCGTATACCGTATATAAATATCTATAGTAAGTCTAATTTTGACATTTTAAAATTGATTACATATTGGGGGAGATAAGTTGCTGCAAAGAATAATTTATTTAAATATAATAAAAAAGTAGTTACAAAAAGTTAAAAAAAAAGGCGTTATTTTTTATTACTTTAATATATAAAGCTTAACAAATGTTTAAACTTAAAAACTTAAATAATTTGTGTACTACTTAAGACTAAAGCTATATTTTAAATGTATTTTCCATGAGTAATACTCCATTTTCAAGTCGAAAAATTATTTTTGGGTCTAATCTCCGAATTGCATACAGGTTACAATTTGGAGACCAGACAAGCTCCCCAAAGATCATACCCATGATCCTTGGTTGTCTCTGACATCAACCGTAATGACTCCACTTTCATAATGGTTAGAGTGCAATAAATTTTAAAACCGGAAATTTGATCGGAAAACATTTGAAAATGGAAATGACAAAACAATAATTACTTCAATAACCTCTTAAAAGGTAACAATAACTTTTTTTATCTTTTTTAATAATGTGGTTTATCTTCTACTAAGGGCTTTTAATGTTAAAATTTTTTCATGCAGAACAAATAAACTAGATTAGTTTTTGTAGCTCACTCGCAGGGATTAAGTATTCTTACATTTATGGGGATACTTGATCCTTGCAAACGGGTTACTTAATCTCCCGTTAATAAAGTATCCTACCCATGAAAATAGTACAAGTAATTAAATTAAACAATAATATAAACAAACAAAAAATAAAATGTAGAAATAAATTAACATAAAAAAAAAACAATGTTTTATTATTATACGTTAGCAACAAATTTATGTTAAAATTTTTATAATGCCAGCAGTTCTGGTTGTTCCAATAGTGGATAGTTGTATCAACTTTAGTATGTTAGCCGTCTTAACGTGTTACGTGACGTGTTAACGTATGTTAAACGTCTTTTAAACATTAATGTTTAAAAGACGTTTAAAACACATTTTGAACGTAACTTTTAAAAACAAATGCCCGTCGGGTCTTGTCATCGAGAACCGCTCGTATTTTACAATCTCAATAAATCATATTCAATTACAGTTGTATATCTCTATAAAAACTTTACAGCATAAATACATCAAATATTACATAAAATTATTAAACGTTTAAAAATATAAAAATATATAATCCAGAGACAAAATTATTTCCTTAAGTTTATTTTTAAATGAAAGGTAACTCCATTCCTTTTTTCAAAAAAACTTTCATTTCAGATAAAAGAGGCTTAGCATGAGTAAATCTGTCTTTAAAGTTGATAAGACGAGCAGCATGCTTCTGCTGACGATAAAGAGGTTTTAGTTTATTTTATTAGCATTATAACAAGCAATATTTGCATAGTTAAAATGACAATTTATTTGTCATTAAAAAAAAAGAATTCAATTACCGGGGATAAAAGAAGACAATATTTGCCAAACCACTACAAAATGGATAAAGAAAAATATAATTGTGTTAAACTTTGTTTATTTAAGGCAATCCTAGCCTTATATGTTACTCCTATACTATTAGCAATTTTGTTGTACAAAAAATTAGTGTAGTATTTCCAGCTAAGGTTTTTATCAACATGGACACCTAGAAAGTTAGTATTTATTTTCTATTTTATTTAAATTTTGTCTGTAAAAAGTAAGAGCAAGTTAGGAGGCAGTAGTTTCTTTTGCAGTCGGATGAAAGAGTGACCATTTTGTTTTATCCACATTTAGTGACAACTTATTCATTTTGAACCATTCACAAATTTTCTCTAATTCGATGTTCATAGTTTGAAATAATGTTAGAATATATTTATGCAATAAAAAAAGATTAGTGTTATCAGCAAACATGGCAGTCATTAAATTTGACGCTTTAGGGAGATCATTGATGTAGATTAATAAAAGAAGAGGTCCGAGTATAGAGCCCTGGGGAATTCCAAAGGTTGTATTTAATAAATTAGATGTACCACTTTGATTAATATAAACAAACTGTTTACGGTTTTTTAAAAAACTTTTTATTATCATTAAAACATTCCCTCTAATTCCATAGTATTCTATTTTTTTAAGGAGAGTTCGATGATCAATAGTGTTAAACACTTTTGATAAATCTATGAAAATTCCCAAAGTATATAGGGACTTCTCAAAAGATTCATCCATACTGCGAGTAATATGGAGTATTGCGTGTTCTGTCGAATTTTTGTTTTTGAACCCGATTTAATTGATATATAGTATATTATTTAAGGTAAGATGATTATAAATAACGTTATATAAAATTCTTTCTAAAACTTTAGAAAAAACAGAAAGAACAGAAATTGGGCGATAATTTTTAACATTGGTTGGATCACCTATCTTAAAAACCGTAGTTACTTTAGCTATTTTTAAATGATCTGGAAATAATCCCTGTTTTATTAAAGAAAGAAAAACTTTAAATAGTACATCTTTTAAGGGTTCATGCGAGTCAATGACAACATTACTATTAATTCCATCGTGACCAACGGGTTTATTTATTTTAAGCATTTTGAAAGGTTTGTCGAATTCTTCAAATAAAGTTCATAAGATGTTAACGTTGACGATATCGGAAAATCGTAAGTATCTATTTTGTCAATCACAAAAGGAATATTTTTGGCTAAATTTGGACCAACTGATTCAAAATATTTATTTAATTCATCACATATCACAGTTGGATAAGATGAAAAATCATCGTTAATTTTTAATGTTTTGGGTAGAAAGCACGTTTTTGTAATCCACGTGCCAGTAAGTTCTCTTAGGATCTCCCAGGTGCGTTTTGAGTTATTCTTGTTTATCTCAGTTAAATTAAAGTAGTACAATTTATGTAAATTTTTCCCTTTTTTTTTTCAAATATTTTGGCATTATTTTTGTAAAAAGTTTTAGTTTACTCTGCTTTTTTTTTCAAATATTTAATATATAATTTTTGCTTAATTTTAGAGGATTTTCTGAGATCTTTAGTAATCCATGGAGAAATTATAGCTTTGGGTTTTTTATTTACAGTAGATTTTGGAAAATTAACGTCATATAATTCATAAAAAGTTTAAAAAAATTATTCTTAAACTAGATTAGCATCAGAAGAGACTTCTACTTGTTTCCAATGAAGCAGAGATAATTATTCTTTGAATGATTTTAAATTCGCTGTATTAAAAAAACGTTTTTTAAATATTGCGTTTTGTGGAGATATTTTATTAAAAATATTGGTTGTTATTATATTGTCTAATGAGGTAGCCGATGTTGCAGTTACTCTTGTTGGTTTATTAATTATAGAAAATGCGCCATGTTCAAATACATCGTTAAAAAAAAATTTTATTTTATAATTAGTATGGTATTGAAAACAGTCCAAATTAATATCACCTATTAAGTAGTATAATTTCTTTTCATGAATGCTATTACTTAAAATATCATTAAAAAATATAGCAAAATTTTCAATTTGACTAAAACGCTGTCGTCAAGCTTAGGATCTGCATCAAATTTGAGTTAATAGCATAAAAATAAATCAAAACCATAGCTAATATCCGGATAGATAGAAATATCATCCGCTTCATCAGTTGAAATAAAAAGCTCTATGTGTCTAAGTTTTTGAAGCTTTTTTTTCTTTTTTCTTTTTTGTGGTTTTCTTAGCTATCTTTGCACAAGCTAGTTCTACTATAAGTTAGGATGCAAGAGAGTCCCAGTTTTCTACCTAGAGAAGATTGGACACAAGGTACTGCTTTAGGATAGGACATGATATCTTGTGGAGAAAAATTACTCACAGATGTTATATCCAATGTTTGAGTGGAAAGTTAAATGATACCAGACAACGTTGGTTTTATAGAAATTGATGTATTAGTACTAAGTGTTGAGGTGTTGATTACATTGGATCACGAAATGATTCTTGAATTAAAGCTTGGTCTGGACGGTCCGTGACAGCGGTCATAAATTCGTTTTCAGTAAATATGCTTGGATTTATCGGCCGTATTCTAGCAACTTTGAATCTACTAATGATGATTTTTGATGTACTAATGATACTTTTAATCCACTAATGATGTTGGTAAGAGTCATGGCTCACATCTCAAAGCAGTTCATCAACGTTGTAAATTGTAACAGTTTTTTCAAGGAATTTTATCATGAAATTAAAAGCAGCTTGAGAATTGTAAGTCTTCAGTCAACCTAAAACAGCCCGGTCCAAAGGCTGCGACTTATGAGAAATGTGCGGCGGAATTGTAAGAAAAATAATGGCGTTGTCTCTTGGATAATTTACAGCCTCCACTTAACTGCAACTAGGCTCTCGTGGTTTTCCATAATAATTAAATGCTTCCTTTCTAAGCCAGGTTAAGCAAAACAGACAAAGTGTTTCAAAAAAGTTTAGAAAACTAAAGCAAGTCATCAATCCACTGGGATAGGTTGTATCACTACTACCAGGTATATGGCTTAAAAACTAATTCTGCGAATATTTTTAAAGAAATATCGAAAAAAGATGGCATATAACCAGTGGAAAAACTTATACAAGCACACACCATAATCAGTTCGCCTCATTCAATTACAATTCGCCTACAATTCCATCGTTCTGAATTATTTCGTCCCAATGCATAAAACTACAAGTTGAATGTATTTTAAATTTCAAATTTTTGTTTTCATGTTTATAATGTAAAGATAATAGTAATTTACATTTACAATGTTCTTACAAACATGAACCAATTTAGCCAGTTTTGGATTTCTATCAAGAAAACCTCTATACAAGTCGCAGCCAGATAAAAGTAGATTCTCCAATTATTTCTTTTTTATGTGAATAAGTTTTAGGTTTTTTTTTTTTTTTTTTTTGTAGTTTAATGGTGGGTTTTTGGTTCGCTAGGTGTAGATT